TATGGCCTCTGGTCTATAGGTTTCACCAGACCCTCAAAGGGGTCCATGGTACAAAAATGTTAAGAACCCCTGTTCTAGAGTGTTGTTGTTGTTGTTAGAATTATATTTTGGATAATTTCTTTTCTGCAGTACATGGAAGACAATCACACACTTAAATCAATGGCTACAGTTTTTCAGCCTAACCAGAAGTAAAAAACTTGTGTCCTTCCAAAATTGCAATTCTCATTGATTCCAGGTAAAATGGCTAACAGCCAGGAATAATAGAAACCGTAATCCAACCACAATGGGAGGGCCACAGGTTCCCCAGTAGTATAATTGTATCAGCAGTTCTCTCCAATCTGACTGGGGGCGGGGGACAAATAATGTGATTAGAAGGTTGTGGTAGAAGAGTGCCAATGTACTTGCTTGGAATGTTCAAAACAGGCAGGATTGCTAAATTAGCAAAAATTTGAGTTGTGAGCGTTTCTATGGGGGCTCCCCTCTTTGTATCCATGCAAGAGTTTTAATTGACCCTAGTCCCATAAAAGAAGAACCATCATCTCTTCCCTTCAAAAGTATTATTTTTCTTCTATTGCAACATTATGTTCCAGCAAGGATTACTAATTTATTCTCCGTGGAACAGTACAGGACTCATTGAGTGCTATGTAACATTATCAGCGTGTGGGAGACTATACATCATATACGTTTTCAGCATGCCTTTACTTCAGATTTGATTTTATAAGTGCCAGGAGTAAAAACAGATGTTACGCTATTCAATGTTTGGATATCAAACTCTACCCCAGTACAACTTATACGTCCCACAAGGCATGTGGATAATCTAGTAGGTTTGGGAATAGATGAAGTGGCCAGAAAATGTTTGGCTTCAGCTTTTTCATGCCAAGTTTTCCTAAATGCTTGACATTAAATATGAATCAAATCTAGACTCCAGCAGTGTAGCCAAGAGTAGGATTCAACTTTGCACACAAACTCAAGAAATCAAGGTTGATCTGAAATATCAGTAAACTCTTGGAGCAAGTTTATGTAGGAGCATTTCCACTAAAATCCAAAAAGAAAGTACAAATACTGCTTAAGGCAACTGGGGCTGAATCCCTTTTGATCCATAGGCTTGGTAAAAGCAGAAACTGAAATTTCTTCCAAGGCTGAGGTTCTGTTATGGGCACATTCCATTTTCCCATTGCTCAATTCAATGTAAAATTACAAAATGTAGCACAAACAATCACTTCTTGTTAAGTAATTAGGATCAAGTGACAAGGTCATCACCACAAATGCATACATTTACTTGTGCTACACTCTTTCCGGTCTATAATTCTAGAATAGGAAATGTGGATGTATGAACTGTTTTAAGGGTAGAAACAGCAAATTTGTGTGCGTATGATGCAGCAATATTAGCACAAAGAGACTCAATAACCAATACATTTTCACACACAAAAAAATTCCTCTTGCTCACAGTTGATATTTCAGATTAAATACAATAAAAGTAACAAATGTAAGACAGGGTTGTAAGAGCAAAACAACAAAGGTTCAACACCAAACCAGAACATTAAGTTCATTTATGAGGAAAGGTTCCAAATCTGAGGATGCTTTAGATCTTTAAAAAAGCGAGGAACATAATAGAGGTGCATGAAGTGTAGCAAGATGTGGAGAAAGGTGACAGGGAAAAGCTCCATCTCTTCACAAAGTGCATAGTTAACTATGGAATTTTCCCAAAGGTGATCCAGTCCAGCTTTATCTTCCCAAAGTGGCGAATAAAATGCTTCTGGAAAGTCCACAAGCAAGTTAGGAGTGCAATCTCCTGGCGTTCTCTTCCTCAGTGATTAGTATAAATTGTGGGATGTCATCACAATATTGGAGATAACGTACTGACATCACAGCCAGGAGCCATTCCAGGAACAATTACCATGAATATGTTTAACCCCCTTTTAAAGCTTCCTAAGTTAGTGGCTACCACCACCTCTTGAGATGGCAAATTCCATAGTTGAAGTATGTGCTGTATGTACATTCTTTTGCCTGTCCTGAGTTTCCCACCATTCAGTTTCATCTGGTGGTTTAGGATCCTAATAGTATGGAAAGAGAAAAAAAAACCTTCTCCATTCCTGATTTCTTCCTCAACACACATACTGTAATTGCATGCAGCTATTTCATGACTTCTTGTTCAACCTTTTTTCTACACTAAAAAACCTTAAAAGTTGTAGACATTCTATATTGCTCTATTCCCTTGAACATATTCACTGTCCTCCTCTGTACCTCTTCCAACCATGCAGTACCTTTTTCAGAGTATGATAATTGTTACAATATTCCAAGTATACTGTAGACTCATCACAGATTTGTATAAAAACATTGTGATGTTGGCATTTTTACTGGCACTTTTGCCACCAGTGGCCTCCAGAGCCAAGTGCCCAGTGATGTACAAGTGTTCACTTATCCCCAGGGTCTTCAGAAAGCTGGTTGGCTGCCATCCAGTTTCAGAGGTTTTAATTTACTTTATATCCGCAAATAGCCTTTCCCAATGTGTGGCTTCTTTCTTATCGCTTCTATTTCTGGGGTCCTTAGATCAGGATGGGCAACATAGTGCCTTCAGATATTCTGAACTTCAGTTCCCATGGCTGCCCACCAGTGTAGCCAACCACTAGAGGTTAAGGGAGCTTTAGTTCAAACATTTGGACAGCAGTACTGAAATATACTTATTTTATTCCCTACTTAGAAATATGGAACTGCCTCCTTTTCTAAGGCTACTGGATCTGGGCTGAAAAATCCCCAAATTAAGACAGAAATTAAAAAGTTAAAAACCTAGGCAACCTCTAGATAGCAGCAAAGGGTTCATTTTATGAGTTTTTATTGGTTTTTATTGTTTTTATTATTGTTCATAAGCTGCCCAGGGTTATGCTACATAAGATGGGCAGCTATATACATCTTTTAAATAAATATTTTTTTCAGTATTGCTTTGCTGCCATCTACTGGCCATCCATATTTTTGCATCCAGATCTGGTAGTAAACCCAGAAATATGGCCCATACAAATTCAAACTGTAAGGTTTTTGTTCATTTAGCCAGGCTTTGCTCATGGTCACTCACACCTTGGTCATTTCCTATTTGGATTCCCCATGGGGCAATCCTTGACCACCCAGAAACTACAACTGATCTAGAAAGTAGAATTAACATTCTCCCTCAACATTTTATAGCCACCAAGTTATTATAGAAGTGTGAAGCTTCTCCCTTCAGGATTGGTTTTTGGTTGGTTGCTTTACTGTATTACACAACAGATAGATGTTAAATGCAATATTTAACATTATCCTAAATCTATCTTGCATAATAGGGCCATGCACCATTTGAAAGTTATTAGGAAGAAGTGTTTCAGATGCACCACAGCACCTCTCTCATATTATCAAAGCAGCCTGTTTTTAAAGTTTCTGCTGGAGCCTTAAAAAGTTGCTACTGCTTTAAGAATTCTATTCATTAATATTAAGGCAACCTTTAAAGCACTAGGTCCATTTTTTCAGGCTTGCATAAAAGCCTGAAAATGGTCAGGTTCCTTTAATAAACAGCAGGGAGGTGCTGTGCTTGTGCATGGTTCAAAGCACTGCTTCTAAATCATTTCCAAAGGGTTCTACAGAGCAAAACCACAAAGTAAAGCCCTGTTGCATAATATTAATCTGTTGATGAAGGCAGGAGAGATCTTAGATTCGTTAATAGTTTACTGAAGGCATCTCCAGGAGCGTGCTAGCAGGTGATGGGAAAGACTTCTGCTTAAGCCTCTGAATAGACAGTTAAACAGAGCAGTCCTGGAGCAGAATGACTACTAATGTAATGAAAATGCATATATTTGTGTATAGCAGATGAATCGTAGTTTAGCCGGCCAACCAATTTAGGATGATGTATTCAATCCATCTTATATACCATACTGCATTTTATACCCTTTGGGATAAAGTTAGCGAACATCTTTGGTTTCTTGGGCAAGGGGAGCTGCGTAAGTTCCAAATGTTCTCCAGGCGGTTAGAAATGGAGAAAGGCACGCGGAGGGCTTCGGTCTCCATTCCACCCTTCGGCCAACAGCTACCCCTAGTGGCTGCTGCGAGACGCAAAAGTTATCCTGCGCGTTTAAATCTCGCTCGTCGGCTTCGCTGCGGTCAATAGGTTTAATCAGCGAGGTAGCTCCGTGACGAGGTCACTAACCGAGCATTAACTCCTTTGTTTCCGGATAACGCCGGCTATCCCTCCCCAACCAGGTGGACGGCGTACCAGCACCCGGAGGCATCCATTTCCCAAACGAAGAAGGACCGAGGGGGTAATGTAAAGCAACCAGGCGTCTCGTCTCGCGCCACTCCGCTGGCAAAGGGGGAGGGGCGGGTGGAGGCAACCCTTGGCGGAAGGTGGGGGTCGAGTCCGCTCTTCCGAGACTTAGACGAAGTTTGGCGACGCTGCTCGTTGGAAGGGTTTTGCTTCGGAGGCGTTCGCGTGCACCGAGCAGGGGGGAAAAACCTCTGGTAGAATTTCACTTCGCGATCTCGCCTTCCATCCACGTGGGGGGCGCGAGGCTAGAGAGGCAGGCGAGAAAGGGGTGACTACTTGCCCGAGGGTGCTTGGGAGGGGGATCCGGCATTGGTCGGCGCGGGAGCTCGTCGTCGTCCCGAGCGTTTCATAGACTACCCTCGCTCGCTCCCCACATTTACACCCGAGTGAGCGGCTGGAAAGAGTGGAGGAGGAGGAGGAGAGGGTGCAACTTTCGCCTGTTGCGTCGATTACTCCCGGCACGCCCGGCCTGCTTACTCTCTGTGGAAAAGCCCCGGGCGTGCCCTGAAG